CCTGGATTAAAACATTTCTGTGTCTCTTCTTGCCTATAGAATAAGGCTCAAGCTCCTTAGCAACTTAATCTACAACTCGCTTGGGCAGTTTCATCTCCCACCACTCCTGCCTCCTGGTGGAGAGACTGAACAGAATGTAGGGTCCCCATGGCATGTCTTGTGTTTTGCTCATCATGTGCCTTCATTGTTCTCTCACATGTAAAGAAGTGGCTAACCCGTCTCCCGAGAACCAGTTCAGGTATCATGCATACGATGCCTTCACCTAATCCCCACATTTGGTCTTCGAGTGTCTGCTCTGACCACTCCTGTTTCTCAGTAGGCACCTCTACCATAGCATTAGCCATCTCCAGTGGATGAATTTGTTTTGTATTGGTCTCCTTCTGAGCCTCCTGAGCATGCACATGTGCATAGATTAGGAGCCTAATGTGTGTTTAAATAAATTAGGTATTCCTTTGGGATTGTTTGAAGCCAGTTTGAAATAATGACATCTGAATCTCTCCCTTCCTCTAGCTTTTATTTTCCTCAGGACTTTCTGGGCAGCTTTCACCATGATCTAGATAAGAGCTCTGTGACATAAACCAAGGCATGCTCAGTAACCTACCAGAACGTTTCAGGCTACAGGAGAGTTATAGTGCTTCTGTGAATGCTGATAAGCTATTTGAGCGGATTCGTTCTTAGTGGACTCTCCATACCCCCAAGTCATTATCATATTTTCTTGTATGAATAACACATAGAACTTCCTCTGGAGAGCAAGATCTCTGTTTTGTCCATTTCTCTCTCCTGTCTAGAGAGAGAGACTTGGTAGGTGAGTAGATGAAACTTGTTTATTTCCCTCTAGAACAATCTACCTATTTTCTGGGAAGTTGTTTTCTCCTGTCCCAGCCTGTTCCCCAAAGCCAGAAAGAACAGATCCATCACTCCACAGGCATAGCCAGTCTCCCAGTATCTTAACAGGCTCTGCAGTCAGTGAGGTGGAATACCTACCACCGTGTGTATGAGAACCTCCCGTGGTGGGTTGGAATTGATGTGCAAGCTGTTTTTTTCAATTAGAGAGATGTATAACACTCTTGCAGAAAGTTGCAGCTTTTTAAAAGAGTAAAACAAAAGAAATGAACCAAAAACCCTGAATAACCAGCATCTGAGGCTTACAAAGGCCCATGGCTGAAAGTTCTAGCCCGTTAACCCTACCCCTCCTTTCCTGCTCACTAATTATCTGACGTTAATATGAATCAATAGAGGGCCCTGTGTTCACCGTTCGCACACAGTGTGTCTTTCTTTCCTCCTAGATTTTGATGAACTTTAGGGCAGTTTTATGTTTATCTCTGTAGTCTTGGGGTTTAACAAAGCGGCTTGCTCTCTCCGTGCTCTGGCAGGAGTGAGGGTAAGGGGGAAAGGCATGTGTATGAGAAGGGGGAGGGGCAGGAAAAACAAACTGGCACACTAGGCTACCAAAAAAGAAACAAAAGTTGCAGCTTTCGCGTTTGTCATGCAGCCTCTGACAACTGTGAGCACGTTTGGGACTCACTAGTGAATGGCAGTCGTGTACCTGCTTGGTAGGCTTAATCCTGTCAATGAGAAAGAAATGACTCCTTTCCTGGTTAATTAGCACTTGTCACACCATTCAGTTCTATTGAATTGAATAAATTACCTAAGCCTGAAAGTAGCCCATCCCAGAGGTGACCTCCGAGTTAACAGAAGGGACTTAAATGTGTTAGACCTTTTCTGTCTCCACCTGCCATGACTGATTTAAAACTATGCAGTCCTTTTCAGACCCTTACCATTGTTGTTAATGAACAGATTTTAGAAAGACTACTTTTACAAGAAGTAATTGTATCACACCTGAATGTAAATTCCAATGGGGTTGCTGTGTACGGGTATGTGCGTTATCGCTACCCAGCGCCAGAGCATGTTCTTGGAGTAGGCTGCATTGACAGGGTCTCTTAGAGGTGTTCAGTGTGGAACTTGCCAGCCTCGGGGCTCCTGGGTGGCTCAGTCGGCTAAGCTTCTGACTTCAGCTCAGGGCATGATCTCACCGTTTGTGGGTTCGAGCCCCGCGTCGGGCTCTGTGCTGACAGCTAGCTCAGAGCCTGGAGCCTGCTTCCGATTCTCTATCTTCCTCTCTCTCTGACCCTCCACTGCTCACGCTGTCTCTCTCTCAGAAATAAATAAAAACATTAAAAAATAAAAAAAAGAACAATTAATTGTTAAAAAAAAAAAAAACTTGCCAGCCTCACTTCCCCTTCCTCAAAAGGATAAATGTAGATAATTAGGTATCCCAACGAACACAGACTGAAGATGAGCAAAGACAAGATTGTGTGGTCACTCAAACCTTTTATAGAAGTTGTAGTTGAAGACAAACCACCTCTCAATGCCTTGCTTTATTTGTGTAAGGTGTTAATTACCTGGTATTGTATGCGTAATAGAAGCGACACTGAGCCCAGTGCTCTGCCTTAGTCAGAAGAGGAAAGAAGTAATTAACATTAACCAGTCATATCGCTCTAGGAATTTAAAACTGAAAAATTAATTTTCTAGCAAGTCAGTGGGAAATTTCTTATAAATTGGTCATTAAAGTGACTCTGGTGTTACCCATTAAACATAAAAGATTGCTTGAGATAATCCCCAGCTGACATGCTAGGAAGGCCCAGCATGGGAAGAGAGAGAACAATCCAGTGTTTGGTTAGTATTATGTATCTCGATCTGTGTCTAAATTTCATGGGAAGCAAAGTGTGTCATTTGGTGAAACTGAAGGATCAGCTGTAACAATTAAGGATAGAACGTTATTCCTAAATTTACAGCAAGCACATGATAAAGCAGAACTTTTAAATTACAGGTTTGGATGAAATGTGGAACAAAAGACCTGCATTGGCCTCTGTAACAACGGGCGTAACAATGTGATAATTATAAGCTCTGCTTTAGCCCTCACACCCTCAAGTGCAATTTAATGAATAGATTAACAAGGAGCAACAAAGAAAGGGACTAACCTTTGCAAAGGCCTATTTTGTGCCACATACTGTGTTAGATCCATAACTATTACTGATTCATTTAATTCTCATTATCCCCCAGGAAAGGAGATGCTGCCCTCCTATTCAATATGCTGGATTTCTTCAGGATTTTAAATGCTCATGCTCGCCTAATCAGAACACCCAAGTTATTACAGACGCAAATGCCATGCTATTTCTGCTAACCTAGAATGACTCTCAAATATAGCATTGTAGGTGTACAAAGTTGGGAAGATTTGAAGGAAGAGTAACCATGATAGCTAATAAAGGAATTGTAATTATAAGCAAGAAGCACTGCCCAAATGATCAAGTGTTTGCTATAGCTGGTAATGACTGAAAATGAGCCACCCTACTCAGTTTTCAGGCTCTTTTGATGCCGCTTAATAAAAAGCTCCTTTCATTTTTTCTTTGCTCAAGTCACTGTTAAGGGGCACCTAGGTGGCTCAGTAAGTTGAGTATCGGGCTCTTGATTTCAGCTCAGGTCATGATCCCAGGGTCTTGGGATAGAGCCCCGCATCTGAGCATGGAGCCTGCTTGGGATTCTCTCTCTCTCTCTCTCTCTCTCTCTTAAGAAAAAAGGTTTCTGGAACCTTGTGTTTTGCACAGTGATCAATTCAATAAACATCAATTATAAATGAAATCATTCAAAAATGTTCATGTGAGAACTGTTGGACTTAGGTAGGTAGGGACATGGAAATTGGAACATGTCAAAGAAGTAAGATATAACTAAGGAAGTTATAAATATATGTATATATATATCCTAAATAATGAGGAGCCTCTATTCTTTTGCTTCAGTTTAGAAAAATCATTTCAGTAGAATCATACTTGGCTCACACTGACTATATTCACATTATGCAAGATAAAAAGTAAGATATGCAGTGAAGTAAAACTTAATGTTAAATTACATAGACGAACTAGTAACTTCTCTACGTGGAGTTTTATGTTGAGTGATAGTAAAGCCAGTAAATACTGTTCATTAAGCACTTTTTTGATGTGCCCCTCAAACGTTATTGCATTTAATCCTTGTAGCAAGTCTGTGAACTAGGCATTCTTGTCTCCACATTAAAGAGAAGGAAGCTGGGGTGCCTGGGTGCCTCAGTCAGCTGAGCAACTCTTGATTTCGTCCTAAGTCATGATCTCACGGTTTTGAGATAGAGCCCCAAGCCGAGCTCCACACAGAGCGCAGAGCCTGCTTAGGATTCTCTCTCTCCCTCTCTGTCCCTCCCCTCTGCACATGTGCTCACTCTCTTTCTCTAAAAATAAATAAATAAACTTTAAAAACACGCATAAAAAGAAGGAAACTAAGCTTAATGAAATTGAGGAACTTGGCCAGAGTAAAACAGGTTGGACATAAGTCTCCTTTGGACTTTCAACCTGTATGTTGATGACCAAAGCCCCTGATTTTAACTACTACTTTCTGCTGATTATGATTAGGTGGCCTTTAGATAAGAGGATTTATTTTTATTTCTTTTAACTTACTAAAAAATTCTTTCTTAATGTTTATTTTTGAGAAAGAGAGACAGACAGTGTGAGTGGGGAGTGGGCAGAGAGACAGGGAGACACAGAATCTGAAGCAGGCTCCAGGCTCGAGCTGTCAGCACAGAGCCTGACGCGGGGCCCAAACCCATGAACTGCCAGATCATGACCTAAGCGGAAGTCAGACACTTAACCAACTGAGCCACCCAGGTGCCTCCCTCCCTTTTTAAAAAATTTTTATTTTTTTAAATGTTTTACTTATTTCTTAGAGAGAGAGACAGTGTGAACAGGGGAGGGTCAGAGAGAGAGGAAGACACAGAATCTGAAACAGACTCCAGGCTCTGAGCTGTCAGCACAGAGCCTGACACGGGGCTCAAACCCACAAACTGTTAGATCATGATCTGAGCGGAAGTTGGACGCTCAACCAACTGAGCTGCCCAGGTGCCCCCCAAAAAATTATTTTTTAAATGATCAGCTCATATTTGGAGATTTCTGCCTATTGTCTTTTTTTTTTTTTTCTTACAGGGAACCAAAGTCCTGCAGATGTTCATGTGGTACCTGAATCCACGGCAGGTCTTTGATCTTTCTCAGGAAGGGCCAAAAGATGCGTAAGTCTGGACATAATCCCCCAGGATCCATACATTTTTGGGCAAGCGAGAAGAACCTCTGCTGTGGAGTCAAGCTTCATTATTAGATTACCTTGTGAAATATTTTCTGACCATCCCTCATTTACTTTCCCACCTGTATTCACCTCCCTTAAAACTTCATCTGACATTTCTCTTCCTAGCCTTCCTTGGGCTAATTCCCTTCCAAACCAACTACTTCGTTGTTAGGGCATATTTCTAGTGTGTTTGCTGCTTATGGACATGCACCTATAGATTATTTACAAGTCTGCATTGAGAGGAGATTTGTTGTTTTTCTATTTATGCACATATAACTTTGGAGATGTATGTCAGTAAGAATGTAAGTATATCTTTGGAGAGTGACCATATTTGTTTATGAATATGTTTGCGTATTTAAATTACAGGTTACGCATGTGCATCTGTGTCTATTTGAGACAAATGACTTGATTATGCCTATGGTTTCCTCACCAGCGTGGGAAGACATTGTAAATCCTGCTCAATCTCTTTTCCAAGCTTCTCAGAAATTTCATTCTGTTTTTATTAGAACTGAAAATAAAGTTTAGCTGGAGGTAACATGCATCCTGTATCTTCCCTTTGGTGACGGTGATGGGTACATGGTGGGAGAGAGCAGGGCTGTTTCTGCTACAGTCTGATTCCCTTTTTAAAACTCATGTATTAAGGTGCCTGGGTGGCTTAGTCAGTTAAGTGTCTGACTTCAGCTCAAGTCAGGGTCTCGCGGTTCATGAGTTCGAGGCTTGCGTTGGGCTCCGTGCTGACAGCTCAAAGCCTAAATCCTGCTTAGATTCTGTGTCTCCCTCTGTCTCTGCCCCTCCCCCACTTGTGCTCTGTCTCTCTCTCAAATAAACATTTAAAAATGAAAAAAAATGTATTAAGATAGTTTGGATGTCATCTGGTCAACATTAGAACTTGAGGGATACTAATTATTTTTGAATAAGTAACAATATCAGAGGCAAAGAAACATCAACTCAGATAATTTTTAGAGAAATAATATTCCTGTGTAAAATGGAAAAAGCATATATTTGAAGCAAATATTATATTTGAACATATAAAATTAATTTCTGCTGTCATTCTCTTAACCTATGAACTTCTTTGCCACTAGAGTTCGCTATAAAACTTCTATATTTTTTTCTGTATTTGGATGGACTAAGGCAAATCTACTACCCTGGCTTTTGCCCTGTTAGAAGGGCAAAATCTTAAAACCTTATCACTTTGGTTAGACTTTAGGTAGAGACTTCATAGATCATCATGAAGGATGTGACCAGATAGGAGATATTTTCAGAAAAAATTATATTGATTTAAAAGGTGATCTCTTCTAGAACAGAGGCTTCCCTGAGGCAAATGTTTTAGCAGAGGGTGGTCTAATTATATTTTCTCAAGAGCCAACCTGGAAAGTGATCTAATTTTAAGCAGACAGATGTTAAATAAAGAAAGTCTTCCCTCTTTGGGCTGAGGAGTATAAATTTGGTTCGAATGTTAGTAACTGAAGAGAGCTGGGATTCTAGGTGTGGTGGCAATACTAGTGGGTATCCTCTCACCACCCTGTCTCTCTGAAAAAGTTTATTGGGATTAAGAGTGGAAAGCGGAAGTTTGAAAAAAAAATCCAGGAAAAGCTGATAAAGTATGAGGAGGAGACATATAGTCACTATTGACTACTGATTCATGATGATTTCCTTGGAGAAAGGAAGGAAGGGTATGATGGGAAAAGAAAAGGAAGTTGTAACTAATTAGGAAAATAATGTGAGTTGATGCATCAATAGAAATTATGGGAAGTAAAACTCTGCGACATCGTGAAATCCCATTCCAGTGTCAGCCATTTTAAAATGATTTTTGCTACCAACCTCTGATCCAGTCGTTGGGGTCCATTCCCTTGTGATTACTTGGTAACTAGTTTTGATGACATTATATTGATTCCGCATTTTCTCCAGCGACAGCCTGTATACCCCTCTTTTGCCCTGTGTGTTCTCTCTGCGATCGCCAGTGACGTGCTCATGTTTATGTTGTCTTCTGTCTCCTCTACAGGCTTGAGTTATATAGGAAAGTACCAAATCTGCGAATCTTAGCCTGTGGCGGGGATGGAACGGTAGGTCCTTGAAATAGAATCTAGTTGTCTCCCTTATTTCTTCCATCTTTCTTTTGTTTTCCTCATGACAATTGTCCTTATTTATTCCCACCTCACCTCTTTCCAGTCCTCTGAAACATAGGTCTCTGTCACGTGAATCCTAGCCCACAAGGGATTACAAGAGACTTGGTAATTGTTCTCATGGGTTCATACTTGGTCTTCCTAAATTACGTTTTACCCCCTCAGCTATACTATAGGCTTTCCTACCCCACAAGGTAAAGATGTGGTCATATCATTAGAATGAAGGTTATAGATGACTAAATTCTTTTTTAAAAACCCTTATTTCATTTGTTCTTAATTGGTCACAATTATTAAGGAGACGTATATGGACAAAATTATTGTCTTTATTCAAGTAGAAATAAAACTTAGAATGCTGACATTGGTTTGCCTTAAATTCCATTGATTGGTACCATTGTATTCATTTTTGGGAGAAAAGGTGGAACCTGGCTGATGTTTAATATTGTCACATTTTCCTCTGTTTGTCTTACCTGTTTCTCTATTTGCTCTCTACTTACGTTGGTATATTTAGCAAAGGCAAAGAATTGAGAGCATGACATTTAGATGCCGCTGTCCAGTGTCTTTTTCTTGTGTGTTTGGAGTCTGCTCTCACAGTATCTACGATTTTATTATGAACTCTTTTTGGCTTTTCTGTAATTTCCCTAATTAGAATGTTTTATTCTCAGAGGTAGCAACAAAATCTAACTCTTTCTCATAGCAAGTGAGCACTTAATGTAGCATTGGATACATGTTATATACCAGTAAGTGCAACTGGGGGGAAGAAAATAGAGCGGTATTTCCACCGGTCCCTTAAGTTAGTCCATGGAGAGGAGAACATTTTGCAGTTGGGAAAATAGTGTTTACTGTTTGTTAAGATTCACAATACACATTATTCGCTCATAAAATTCAATATAAAGTCTTACAGCTGAGAAGACAAACCTATTTTCACTTTGTTAAACCCAGTGTTGTCCAAAATTATTTGACCAGGGAATTTTTTTCTGCCACAATACCAGTTAAATTTCAGTCATTTGCAGTGTCCTAGGGAAATATACTTAGGGATAGGCTGCTGTGAAATTTTCCCAACCGTTTTAAAGTAGAATTACATCCAAACAAATCCTCTGGGGAGATAGGTGTGTGTGTGTGTGTGTATACATATATACATATATAGTATCATATATATGATGGTATACATTAATTGATGTGTCTAATATAATATATATTAGATACATATACAGTATATATTTATTTAATTTATTACATTTCGCATACACATACATCGTGTTCTTAGCTCAGTGTGTATTTTACATATATAATAAATATATATTATGTTTAATATGCATGCATATACATTCCTAGCTCAGCTGTCCCCAGATTAGTTATCTTAATTAAAATATAAACTTATCATGAGCCTTTACTACATTCTCTTCCTTGTTTTAGAATCTCCTTGTCTTCCCGTATGACTTCAGTATTTGCTCCTATCTTTTCTGCTCTAAATCTCAGTGACAACAGCAGACAAGTTGAGGATATGCCTGCTGACCTGAATTCATAGTTCTTATCCTTCCTTACCCTAAGTGTCCATGACCTCAAATCCACATCCTCTTCCTGTTCCATCTCTACGTCTTGAGGTTCACCATTGATGGAGAACCACGCCTTCCAAACTTCTCCCATCATCACCGAGCATGGTGGGAACTTGCTCTCGCTTCTTCTTTCTTGTCCCTTTCCTCTATTCAGCGGGTATGTGTAGGAAGCACATTCTAGCTTAAATGGTTTTGAGGCATTCTCTGCAATTCTAGAAGTATTTGGAAACCTCTGGTTTTAAAGCCAAAAAGACAAAGACAAGAGAGCCAAGTGTGGCCACTTGCGAAAGACCTGCAATTAGGCAGTCCAGGCCAACGTTCAAAAGGAAAATGGAGAAGATAGACTTAGAAAGGATCACCCATAGTTTATTTTGTCAAGAAAAAAACAAAACAAAACACAAAGGAGTTTCAAGAAAGAGGCAGTGGTTTTATCCTGGAGGAGAGACTGCAGAATTAGCACTGATTTTGGAGACTAGGGTATAACTAGTGGTTTTCAAGAAGCGTGTCTGGGACAAAACCAGAATGATGAGCAAGTGAGACTTGGGAGATTGCTAATGGATCCTGAAGATCAGACCCAATTACAGTGTTGAATATCTGTGTATACGCCCTAGTGCCATTAATAACCCCTTTTGACATGAAGACTGCCTGGTTCTCCTACTTACCCTGTCTTTTCCAGCATCTTTTCTTTAAATATACCATAATTAATAGGTGCTTCACAAGGATAGATATTATTTTTATATTCTAGGTAGTTTTTCCTCTTAGGGACCACATCTATGTTCCTGACTTTGGTTTTCACATCCTTACACGTAACTCACAAATGCACTGGACATTTATACTCAGTGCCTTGCAACAGGCATGCCTGGAAGGAAAGGAGTAGATCTACCTTACCCTTGGTACCTACTTTTGTGTTAATTATTTTCTCAATAGTAACCTCTGTAGTTTAATCACTCAGGATCAAAACTTTGTGTATCTCATACCTTATGTAAGACCAAGTTTTATTTTATTTTACTTTACTTGATTAAAATGGATGTTTTGTGAAACAGGCATGGAATTTATGAAATGTTTTTTTTCTAGGTCAGTGATCGATATTTTTAAGTTTTAGTTTAGAATATGAAACTTTTAATTTTGAGTGGGGGTAGAGTTTATATAAAGACGAGGCCTCCTGATGGATTTATGAAGAAAGATTGCTGGCTTTAGGCAAGTGAAGAATGATTCCTGGAGTGTCAGGTATACATTTGACATAAGGCACTCAGCCTTTTCTCAGTGAGCATATCTATCACCGTAAGCCATCAGAATTCTGTCAGTACAGTGACAAGGTTCCAGAGAGAATCAGGAATGGAATTTCTTTTGACTGATTAGGAGGGGGATATATTAACCCTTAACTGCATCAGTTTGTGCACAAAGTATTATAATGCGTAGATATCTCACATCGATTTGGAAACAAGTTCTTAGGCTTCAGGATGAGTTTTGCGTCGCTCTGACTCCTTGCACTTTTAAATAACCCATCTCCCAAGCATTGCACTTGAAGGCAGAAGAGCTGGTTGGGTGCCTACATTTCTGTGACTTTCAGCAGGTTCCTCACCCTCCTTTGAGGCCTTCTAAATCTGCAAAGGGATACATTTGCATCCCTAAGCGTCTTCATAGCTGTAACATTACAATAGTATAGACCATTGCTGTTCAAGAGAACTACGGTACAAGCTACATTTTTAAGTTTTCTAGAAGGCACTTAAAGTCAGAAGCAGGTGAAATTAATTTATAATATAGTTTATTTAACCTAATAGATCCAAAATATTATCATTTCAGCACGCAATCGTAGAAAAATCACTAATGAGATATTTTATGTTCTGTTTGTGCTGTCTTCAAAATCCAGCCTATACTTTTACTTAGAGCACCTCTGGTTTGTATTAGGCACATTCAAGTGCTCAGTAGCCACCTGTGGCCAGTGGATGGTGCAGCAGACAGTGTGGGTATCATCTCTTTGTAACTGGTTAGCATAATCCTAAGTCTGTCACATAGTTGTCACATCTTTCATCTCCAGGCCCTAAGAAAACTCCCCTAACTCAAGAATGATCTCAGACCCTCATGTTTGTAAACAAGCTGCTTTTGGGTTGGGTGGTAAATTTGTATTCTTTCCCCTCCTTGGACATAATCTCTTCCTGTCCAGCTCCCCATAGCTGTCGCCCTGCTTGAATATTGAAGGACATGTGAACCAAGAGCCTAGAGATGCATGTACCCTCCCCTCTTATGGCTCCTTAAGGTGTAATGCACTCCCTACCTATCTGGCCCTTGACCTTGGTGATTGGGCTGGAACAGCAGGTCCATCTTTAACTAGGTTAACCTCTTTCCAAAGGCCTGGAGTTAAACTATTTAGGCAACTACTTCCTGCTTATTTCTTGATCACTTGGCTTCCCTAGATGAAGATAAACCCTAAACAGAAGGTACCTCCATGCCTGGACTTACTACAGCCACAGCAGGAAAGGAAGTGCCCATTTCCTTTTCACGGACACTGACAAGCACATCATTCCAAACCCCTTTTCTCCCAAAGCGTCAGCTTCATTATATCTCTCCCCCACCCATTTCTCTCACCTTCTGTCTTGATTTCTTTTGGGGTGATTTTAAACAGTTTCTTTCTTTCTTTCTTTCTTTCTTATTTAAAAATTTTTATGTTTATTCATTTTTTGAGAGAAAAATAGAGAGAGAGAGAGAGTGTGTGTGTTTTTGTGTGCGCAGGGCACAGAGAAGGAGAGACAGAATCCCAAGGAGGCTCCGTACAATCAGAGCAGAAGAGCAGAGCCTGATGTGGAGCTTGAACCCAAGAACTGGGAGATCATGACCTGAGCTGAGATCAAAAGTTGGACCTCAACCAACTCTGCCACCCAGGGGCCCCTTAAACAGTTCATTTTAGCACATGATGACTTGTAAACTATTAAGTACAAATAGAAATTACAATATCAAAAGAATCATAATGTACATATTAGGAAGGGACCCCCAGTCATTAAATGCTGTCTTGATGATCTTTTAGTTCAGAAATGTTGTGCTTGTTTTCTTTTGATTTCTCAACATGCACATCCTTCACTTTTTGTCAGCATATGAGGAACTGCAATGTGTATCTGCTCTGTTCGAAAAAAAAATGTCAGTTCACTGGTCTTCCCACCCCTCAGCCACCTCTGATGTTAGTGCCTTGCAGAATGAAAATATTGCTAAAAATGCCCTTGGGAAACATTTAATGACAGCAAAGCACAGCGTGGACAGGGGATGGCAGCATCGGCCAGCTGCGGGGACGATACTGTAGCGCTGCTCAGGGACAAAGCCCAGGACCGTGGTGTTTCAGACCCCTCAGCCCTGCTCTTCCTGACACAGAAGCAGGAAAGAACTTTGCAAACTGGGAAATGATTTCACCCAATCAGGATAGTTTCCTTCAGCTGCAATGGAAAATATGCCAAGGGCTGTGTTTTGCAATTAATTAAATTTAACTGAAGGAGTGCTGAATGAGCTGGTGGAGATGAATTGGGGGAATGTGAAAGCCTAGCAAACCCACTGCCTGCTATGAACCTGAAGCCTGGAATTCTAGAAGGAACAGGTTGCTGGTAAGGCAGAGGCCCCAAGAACAGCTTTGGGCCTGAAGATCTTTTGTATAACTCTGCTTTTATAAGGACAAATACAGATTATTACTCAAAGTCTTTTCTGTCCCCTCTATTGTAGGTGTAGTTGTTTACATTCTCTCCCCCCACCATCTTTCTCTCTCTCTTATCCCCTCCTCTTTTGTAGCATCTCTCTGCTTCAATACAACTTGGCTTTTTTATTTTTGATAGTCTGTGAAAGACTTTGTGATTGATGGCAGTCAAAGGTGGAATTGATTTGTGAATTCGAGGTTCAATGTTAAGTGGAGAAAAAGGACGAGGGCATTTTGCTTCTAGGAAACTGGACCTTTATAAAGGAAGTGAACAGTAAGAAAAATACAGCCTAATCATAGCAGCTAATGTTAATTGGACATCTCCCATTTGCCAGGCACGTGCTAAGAAATGTCTACATGTTATTTAACTGATAAAATGCCCCTCAGAGGCTCGAGGGACAGATGAGGGAACTTGGAGCGACTGAGTCACTTGCCTAAACTCACCCAGCCCATGTATGATGGAGCAGGCTCCCTGAGCTCTGTCTCCCTACACCCTAAGTTCTGTTGCCTTTTGGAGAAGAAGTTGGTGTTGAGTAATGTAGCTCTTGGATGAGAAACCCTATTAATAGAGGACTATCCAAAGGAAAGATACAGACCCTTCTCTGTTAAAGAACTATTAGCCTAACACAGGTGGCACTTAAAAGAACTTCATGACACATCTTGGTTATGAAAGGCACATGACATTTGATGACTCCAGGGTTAGGTAATAACGGATTGCTAAACCTACCTGGTTGTATTCAGAAGAACATTAAATATTTGGCGATTGGAAAAAGAAAGTAGAATATATTTATGCAGTTCTTGACAAAGGGAGATAAGCAGCTGCTCATCTCTCTTTTTAAATAATGTTTATTTAATTTTGTGAGAGAGAGACAGAGAGCACGCAAGCCAGGGAAGAGCATAGAGAGAGCGGAGCAGAGGGTCTGAAGCAGACTCTCTGCTGATAGCAGCAAGCCCGATGTGGGGCTCAAACTCGTGAACTGTCAGTCATGACCTGAGCCAAAGTTGGACACTTAACCAACTGAGCCACCAAGGTGCCCTTACATTTATGCAGTTCTTAAATCATTTACTAAGAAAGGGGAAGATCCTTTAATTCAAATAAATTATACCTTTTCCTTTTCTGCTTAGGCCAAGTGTGAGAGAAAAGGAGATGGTGAGAAATCCACGGGTCCTGAAGGCTCATGTCATTCTGAGGAACCATATCATATTATCATGTGGATTTTGGCACCTTTTCTTGAGACAACAGGAACAGCTTAAGAAGATTTGAATGAATACTCCGTCAGGGGTGCCTGGGTGGCTCAGTCAGTTCAGGTTCCAACTCTTGGTTTGGGCTCAGGTCATGACCTATAGTTCATGAGATCATGCCCTGTGTCAGGCTCTGGGCTGGCAGAGTGGGGCTTGCTTAGGATTCTCTCTCTCTCTCTCTCTCTCTCTCTCTCAAAATAAATAAACATTAAAAAAAATTCTTTAAGAGACTCTATCAATTCATGGAAATTACAGGACACTTACTTCACTTATTTGACAAGTATTTGTATTTCACACACCGTGGACTGATCCCTCATCTTCCTATCCATCCTGGTGTTAGTGTTTTTCCTGTGATTTGAAACCTTTCTTTGAAGGCTCCTCTTCAGAGGAAGTTATTTAGTTGTGTTTGGTCCTTGCCTTTTCTTTTTCTTCATCCTGTCACGATCCATTCCTAGTCCTTTGCCTGGTTTCCAGGACTCTGAGACTCGAGTGGGTTTTCCATTGGTGACTAAGGCACCCATCCTGGGGAGGTGTAGGGTGTTTGAGGTACATCAGCGAGCCAGTGGGAAGGTGAGCCCACTGCTGGAGGATTTCTCCTTCCAGGCTCAATGGGTCTCCACCGTCTTTGGGCTATGGCCTCAAGCAGGGGTTTTCACATTCTTTTCAAGCCTCTCTCCTGCTGGCCAAGAGGGAGCCTCATTCGTATATACCATTCAGGAAGGGTGAACTTCTACTCCCTATTATCAGGCAGAGGCCAAACTACTGGCTTCATCTGCTTGCCATTTGTGTTTGGTTTGCTTCTGGTCCCTGAGGATTTATTTTTCCTATTGTTGTGTCTCGAGTGCATTGGGTATTGGAAATATGAATGCATGGCATTATCTTTACCAAGAAAAGAGAGACTTGTTTCAACAAGGCATAAGAAAAGAACTTCTACTTTGAATCTACCTGAGAGAAAGTAGATGGATTTGTGAGTACAGTTCATAAAGGGGGAAGACAGAGCGATCATATCTTGTAAAAATTGTAAAGAGACTGCCTTCTTTATATGGGATGTTGAGTTCATATTTTCAGAGTTCCACCACATTTCTGAGAGTCTCTAGTTCTCCTCAGAGCTATTTGCATCTGCAATCAGTGACCCCTGATTGTTGGGATTTCTGAGTTTTCATGTCTTGTTGTAGTTTATGAGAGGGATCTACTTCTCCTGTGTATAGTTTGTACACAGGTAACAGGGCAATAACAGTATCTAGCATAGTCTTCAGATCTCTTTTAGCATCTGACGCTTTTTCCCCTTACATTTCAATAGCAAACTTTGTTCGTACTGTGTGTAATAAAACTAAGAAAGTGTTAGGTCAGACTCCGAGAAGTTGTCTGGGAGGGAATTGCCCAGTTTGAAGAAGTGGAGGGATTTTCAGACACTTATTTCGATCTCGATTTCTAGTTCATCATATTGGGTGGACATGGTGATATGCCTTTCTAGAAGGTAAACACAATTTCAGGCTTCTTGATGGATGGGCAAGTTTTATATCCTAGAAGAAATACTGTGGTAGAGAAAGGATTTTAGATGGAGTCAAGAGACCTGCTAAGGTCCTGATGCTGACACCCCTAATTATCTAGTCTTGAGCAAATTACATGACCTCTTTGCACCTCAGTTAATAAATCTGCAAGTTAACTGAATTGGACTGAGCAATTTCTGAGGTTTCTCCAGCATTCCAAAGATTCCAAAAATACATGCCTCTGTCTTCAGCATAGTCAGGCCCTATCCAGAACAGGGTTTGCGTCTTTATTTAAAGGTTCTCTGCACCACAGTGCTAAGAGGTTAGCCTCGGTGTTGTTTAGCATACCTAATTTTAAATGCCATCCGTACTACATAAATGGTATGATATTAAGGAGGTCGTTAAATCTTCCAAGTTTCAGCTTCCTTATGGAGATGAGAGTTATTTGTACCTTACAGAGTTGTTTTGAAGTTTAATAATAAGGGAAGTTTGCTCAGGAATCAGCACATGGAAAGCAGTAATTGGCTCTCTCCTTGTTCTTTGTAAGCTCCTTGAGAGCAGGCATCCAACTTGCTTATCCGATCCCAGCTCATTCATCTTATTTCCGTGTTTTATGTGTAGTGTGCAATATGTATACTGTTAAAATACAATGAAAAAAATCAAAATAGGACTCATACAAATGTAGAATGAATGCATGTCAAATTTATTTAGCTCTTTAATGAAGGAAACAGCAAGATGATAAAGTTGATTGACTGGAGAGGCAGAGGGAAAGGATTATGTAGTTTATCCCAAAAATTTTTTTCTAAATGTGAGATAAAATTGGTTTATGGCCTTATGGGGGAATAAAACCATAACCTGCAACATAATCTTCTATTCTCGACATTTGTGTATCTATAGGACAGAAACCTTCCAGTCACCCTATAGTTATAAAGTTTTCAAGCCTGTAAAGTGCTACTTTAGTAGGACATTGTGAGGACATGCAAGTTTCTTGTTTGCCGTTTCCAAGTTTTGGGTAATTATTCTAAAGAGTTACAAGACCAAGCCTAAAGTATTATTTATCTTAGGAAAAGATTAAATGGGAATATGATTCTAGTATATAAGTATCTATTTTCTGCCTGAACTTACAGTAAGTACTAGGACCATCCATAATTATGTTTTCATAATGTTTCATTATGGATATTTAGGAAAATGCTACTAATGTCTAAGATATGAAGGTTAACCATTTAATGAGTGCTTACATGGACCATATTAAGGGTTTTATATACATTTTAGTTTAATCTGTAAACAATCTTGTGAGGTAGGCATTATCTCCATTTTGAAAATCAGGTAAATAAATCTCAGTGGGGTCAAATAATTTAATCAAGATTATGTAGCCAATGTGAGCCAAAATTGAAAATCAGTCTGAATGTGAGTCTTGTATTGTCTCCAATGCCTATGTTATTAACCTCCCCAAATTTTAAACTATTCTAAATTTGAAAGTAGATCTCAAGTTAAACCTACAGATGAGTGGGTCCAGTTTTGCTTATATGACAGCATAAACAAAATGGTCCTTCTCCCTTTAGGGCTTCACCATTTTGAAACCGCTTGATATAAGTAGTCTGTTTCCTGGCCACCAGATTAAATCATACGTGTTTTAAAGAAAAATCAAACAATTTCATTTCTTTTTTAAAGCTTCCTTCTCTTAGGTTGTCTTTGTAACTTACCTCTCTTTCTCATATCTCTTCTGGCCCCCGAAATGTCTGTAGGTGGGCTGGATCCTTTCTATTCTGGACGAACTACAGCTGAGCCCTCAGCCTCCTGTCGGGGTCCTTCCGCTGGGGACTGGGAACGACCTGGCTCGAACTCTCAACTGGGGAGGGGTAAGAACTGCTCTCAAGGGCCACCCATGCCATCAAGCAGGAGGGTCTGAATCCACAGATGTTCTGATGGAAGGGGAATATGCTACTGTTGTCCAAAGAGTAAGTTAGAATGGAGAAGTAGGGTGTCCCTGCATCACAGTTTCATCTGGGAACTTCTTTAGTTTAAACTTAGAATCATCTAAAGAAGAAAGTATGGTCCAAAAAATGGGGGTTAGTACACAGGCCTGGGACTTCTTGAGGTATCCACTGAAAGACAGTAGATGGGTTGGCCTCAAGTCTTTATGTAAAACAAGCTCATGGACCTGAATTGATCCTGACCCTCAGTCTTGGCCAGAATAGCAAATCTTGTTCAGATTACAGTCCTTACTTTAGGAGAGTGACGGGTTTTTCTGAGCATATTGTTTTTCTGCTTGGTGTCATCATGGCTTTGTTACACAGGTGACCAACTGTCCTTTCCACCACAGAGCCAACTTTAGGCAAGCTTAGTGGAAGAAGTTTACTGCCACTAACCAGCTACTTTATTAACATTTTTTACAATCTTAAGATAGTAATAAGACACAATATGCTAACATATGCAGCCCCGCCAGCTTTTGATCTGCTCATGTGAGAGATTAGACTGGGCTCCATGAAAATTATCTTCAGATATTAGCAAATATTAATTTGACCTTTGGGTGAATTAACGTCCCTTAGGTGATAATTATCTTCAGATATTAGCAGATATTAATTTGGCATTGGGTGAATTGACCTCCTGCAAGTCTTTTTTTTTAAGTGAGCATAGTAGAAATGATAATAAATTAGTTGCTTCATGTAAATATGTTTATCATTGTTAACTTCTCTCATCCAAATCAGTGACTTGAGTATCCTTAATAATCATGCTGCTAATAATACATGCACATGGAGGGAGTGGTTGCCTCCTAGGGCTGTGTCTCAGACAGACTTGCCTTCGGTCATGGAAAGAATGGTGTCCCACCTGCAAGGTTAGGGAGGGGAAGTGGAATGTTAATTGAAGAAGTTGTCTATCATATGCCTCCTTGATTCTTTTCCTTCTGTTCCACACATACTTGTCCTATGTGTCTCTCAAATTCTTCTAGCAGGAGACCCGGGGAGTCCTGTTTTCCCTCTGACAGAAGCAGCCGTCCAGCATGGCCCTGAAATTCCTACTGCTGACTACTGATTCTTGGTGCTGGCAAAGATTACTCAGCTCAAACCAGATAGAACAGTATTTCTGTTCACACTACCTGTGACTGTTGTCTTAGATTCTAAGTACTTCAAGGAAAACCGTTTACTTTCCCAGCCTTGCTAATCACAAAGGAAACAAAGAGCTATAGCAGGGCTCTTGCTCGCATGAAATGCCTTTGACGGTACTGTTCCCTGCTCCAGGCCGCAGTGGGTATATTCTTTGATTCTTTAGGGCTACACTGATGAACCTGTTTCGAAGATCCTTTGCCAAGTAGAGGATGGGACCATTGTACAGCTGGATCGCTGGAACCTCCATGTGGAAAGAAACCCAGACTTGCCTCCGGAAGAACTTGAAGAGGGTGTATGTAAGGTGAGAGATTTCTTACTTCAGCACAAAGGAACCCTGGAACCTGTGCCTGAGCGACAGGAAATACACTCCTGGCTAGAGAACCATATGCTGATTCCTTCCCATGAGATCACAGGGTAATGTTTGAGTTTATGGCCACTGGGGTGGGACTATAACACTACTCCATGGTTCGGCCTCATTGACTTCTAAAGACTGAGATTTTCTACCTGCTTCCGGAGCTCAGGGAGCTGTTCTCTGTCCTCGTCTTCCACACCAGAAAGACATGTATTCATTTTCCAACCTCCCAAGCACTGCAAACTCAGAACCTATGAGAAGGTGAAAAAATACAGATATTCTGAAGCACTAGGCATATGGTTTTTTGATGGAAAGAAAACCCCCTGAGATTTCTAGTCTGATACTAAATACCTCTTAGGTTTAGGAAGTATTAACTAAGCCAGTTTCATCACTTGGTTGAAACTTGAAGATGCCTAAATGAATGTTTTGACTTTCCTTCAGTGATGAAGCTTTCATTTTGACCCGACAAACGAAAAGACACAGTTGCATATATGTTGGTGCAGAGTTTTGGTGGGAAATTTGGTTCTAAATTCCAGCCTCAATTTCATATAAATTTGACAGGTTGCAAAGAAGCCACTTCTTGCATATTACTTTCTGCTTTTCTTCTATGATAGTGTTTATAAAGTTGTTCATGCATAAGAACATGCATGTGGAGACATGTGTCTGTGGAAAATGTAGATTATGGGGCCCCATCTCCATCGACTCTGATGGAGTAAATGCAGGTTGAAGGCCCAGGATCTGTACTTTAAATAGCATCTCTGTTTTATTGGATTATGCCACTGATTGAGGTCAAGATTGTCTTGAGCATTTGTTTTCTTCTTTCTTTCTTCCTTCCTTCCTTCATTTCTTTCTGTCTGCCTGCCTGCCTGCCTTCCTTCTTTCCTTCCTTCCTTCCTTCCTTCCCCTCCTTTATAACATTTATTGTCATGGGCATTTCTGCTTTAAAATAAATTGAACCAGATATCCTTTTGAACCCAACCAAAACCTATTTATTTATCAACACCATGATCCTGACCAGTTGTGATAAACACTCAAGTTTCTTATTTGGCTAAAATCAGTTAAAACATGTTGTATCTTGTTTTCATGTTTTTTCCCCAAACCATGATCCAGAAATTATAAGGTTTTTAAAAAATATTTTATTTATTTATTTATTTATTTATTTATTTATTTATTTTGAGACAGACAGACAGCATGAGCAGGGGAGGGTCAGAGAAAGAGGCAGACACAGAAGCTGAAGACAGGCTCCAGGCTCTGAGCAGTCACAGACATTATAAGGTTTCTAGTAGATACCATCACTGCTTTGTTGATTTGTATTCATAATGTCACAATGTTGCTTAAACTGCAGGTATTATCTTGGGATATGATACGTTCTCATGTATTTGACCTACAGAAATTGGGTAAAATATAGCCAAAGTGAAAAGAATTATATGGAAATGTTGAGGTCCTTTCCCCACCAATCTTAGAATGCTTAGGCCCTCAAGAGGAATCTGTATTTGAATCTCTTCCTGACAGCTTAAGAAATGGAAAGACTCCTTGGTGCAGCCAGGGAACATTAATCCAGATAATTAAAGGGCTTTGAAAAGTTGGATTTTTGAGATGTGTAGGAAATTGAGGCAATTTTTTCCTGGAAAATATGAAGAAGAATTTAATAAAGGACTAAATTGGGATATTAGTTAGGGGATGGTAACCAGATGTTCTTCTGAGTTATCAGTGAAAGCTAAGACATGGGTTAGAATCATAGCCAAGAAAACATAAATGGTAGAGATGAATGTATCTGTGCTTTTGGCAAGATCACCAACCCTTGCTGTCATTTCAAAGGCTTGGTATTTTGTTTAAGTGCAGGAACTAGACATTCTCAAATATGAAGCCAGGAGAGTGAGCCATGATTTTGGCACTGCTCTGTGCTTATTTTCTCCCCTGTTCTCCAGGCAGTTGTAGCCATTTCTAAGGGGGCTGATTTGACCTCTGAATCGTTACAAGCTCTGACTCAGGACCTCCCATTGGGGGTGGGGATGTTCATTCTGTTTTTCAATTGGAGGCCAAGGAAATGTTTTTTTTTTTTTGTTTTTTGTTTTGTATTAATGTCTCTTTCTGTTCCTCTCCCTTTCATTTCATGTATTTCTTAATGGGACAAGGCCCACATTCTAGTCAAACAAAATCTTGCTGATCAAGGGGTGTATAAAACAGTGTAATAAACTTACTTGTGGGATCTTGAGGGTTAAACACTTAACTTCTAACAGAAGAGACGAATATTTCTATCTGGAGGCTAAACTAATAATTATCTGGAAACATTATCCAAGCTGAGACAAAATTGCCTCTCTATTTAGTTTAACATTTACCTTACACTCTGAGCTACTGAAGGAAAAGTGGAACAACCACAATTTCCTTTCTAGCATTTTCCACATGGCTTCCTAATTGTTCTAACATTGAAGCCTTATAAGCATGTGGATTTTGCAGTTTTTATGAAGGATTTTAGGTTGTATAATCCTCTCCTTTACAAAGCTGGCAGTGCTAACAGCCAGGGACCCAGAGGACTCTAGGAAGGCCTGTGTATGTCCCCGCATCTGTATCTGCATATTTCGTGATCATATGAAAGATCCAAAATTTGATAGACTAAATAGAAATCTGAATGATACTGACAAATATGTATACACACGTTTATTTTTTTCCCTATAGATCAAGAATAGCTGAATATTTCCCACAGCATAATTTATGACTTATGTCAAAAATAGATTTTAAAAACCCAAAGGGTAAGCACATTAAATAGTATTCATTTTAACATGCAGTATTAATATGCTGGATATACATTCTCAAAAAGTATATCCACTGATTGAGTAGCTTGAACATGATCCTTCCAATTGAATTGACTCTCTAAGTTTGCTTAGAGAATCATTCTTTGTAACTATTGCACATGTGTTTCGCTCAGCTGAAGTGGGCTCTCCTATCTGCAAGAATAGTTCTCATTTAATAATTTGTATTTGTGTCACTAGTTTCCTATACTATTTAATATACTTGGGAGTGTCATTTGATTTGAGCTTTCACTGATGAATTAAAAAATCCCCTCTTCCTTCTACACAAAAACGTTCTACCTTGGGTTGTGACTTCTCTCTCCCCGCCGGTGTCTGGCATTAGGCTTTACTTGACTCTTTCTGCCTGGTTACACACCATTTCACCTCTACTTTGTTCATCATTGCAGCTTCCTCTGAACGTTTTCAATAATTACTTCAGCCTTGGATTTGATGCCCACGTCACACTGGAGTTCCATGAATCCAGAGGTGAGGACAACGTCCCATTTCCATCTCCCAGGGAGGAAGTTTCCAGCAGGTGTTTTGCATGTTCCCTTCTGTTTGCATATCACTTAAGTGTTGACAATGGACTTCAGTGTTGCTTCATTTTAATTATCATGGTGACCTTGGGAGCTAGGCAAAATAGGAACTTACTTCAAATAGGACCCTGAGATCCAGTTGTTTAGAATCTCAAAGATAGTAAAGGACAGCACTTGGTGTATGTTCCAAGTCTCAGACTGCTAATTCTGAAGTTTGACAAGAAACTTTGAAGTTAGTGGACTATTAGGAAATGATAAAGATTCTTTCACTAGAGTCATTAGGATATTCACAGTTTTGGAAGCATCAGTTGTTAAAGTCCAACACTTCATATAAACCAGGGCCATTGAAATCTGGCAGCGCAAACATTCAAGTCCTCCCTGTGTCCACAAGAGAAACAAAAAGCATCCTAGAACAACAGGGAATGATGGGGGTTTGGGTGGAAAGAAACAGTATGGTGGTGATTGGATTGGTTGCAGAGGTGCTAGGAATACCCACTGGGCAAGAAAGAGGGGTGAATGAGACCCAGTAGTAATTTCAAGGACTAAAAAAATAAAGAGATGGGGTCACAATTAGGGAACAAAACCATTTTTGAGAGAGATAAGATGAAATAATGGCATACAGTTAAATGCTTCCTAAAAAAATTTCTTATGCCATTCAGAGCTGAGAAAGTGTAGGATTTGCTTTTATGCTTTGAATCTCCAATCTTCTATGCTCACGTTCACTCACATAGTGTCTCTTCATCTCTCTCTTCAAATATCTTCTTATTAATGTAACTATGTACATCTGTGTCTTGGCCTGATCTACATCTGTACCTAGTCCCTTGTGAATATGTTAATATATAACCAAAATAATGCCTGGCTACAGGTTAGTAAGTGCATTGTGAGATAAAAGGCATAAATGAGAGGATTATTTTACATCTTTTTTTCTTCAGATTCTTCAAGAGCAGAAGTGGTTTCAACTACTAGAATTTGAAATACAGAGACCTTAAGGCTAGAATTCAAATGTTCAGATTCTAGTATTAACCCAGAGAAAATTCTGATAACCCTCTTACACACTAAGGGTCAAGAGTGAAGTTGTGGGATTAAGGGAGTTAGAATACCAAATGTATGTCAAGTCCAAACTTGTAATTCTCAAATTGAATTCAGCAATTTTGGTAGGCTTTGCCTTCCTGCTTTCATGAGGCTTTGAGGGTCAACTGTTGTGTCAAATAAAAGCAATACTGATCAAAGAGAGAGCCATAGTTTGACTTTTCTCTCTGAAAGGTTGATTGATTACAGAACTACAAATATCAAATACCCAGATCAAGAACACCACCACCCTCCCACTGCCCTGCCATAGACAGTTCTTGGAGATAGATATGCAGAGAGTCCTATGTCAGGGCCCACATTTATAGTCTGTTGGTCTCCCTATATTTAAGGAGACTTAATTTGGGGAAGTAAATGGAGATTACTTTCCTCATTTCTTAACCCATTTTTATTCTCATATTCTTCAGGAGGCTCTGGATCTGGGCTTCCTAATAAAATCCTTAAGTTTCTTAATAATACTTGTAATATAATTATCACCAATGCATGAATCTTCCAAAATAGACATCCTGGCTTGAAAAGAGGGCTAAATGAGTAAGTGGCAGACAATGAGCTCATTCAAGGGAGCCTAATATTTTGTCTAATTAATCTAACAATCTCTTAATGATACATTTCCTTGTACTATGATGAAACTTCTGTGTCTCAGAGTGAAGAAAAGCAGAAAGAAACATCAAGGTAGAAAGACCAGGCTTAGGGGAGAATTCTTAAAGGAAAGTGATTTGTTTTTGAAGCTACGGGACTATTTCACTTGAGAGAGGAATATACAAATGGTGGTGTATGTATATATACATGGTTTAATATGTGTGTAATTATAAAACAGTTGGTTAAAAGATGCCAAGCGTTGATCTTTGAAGTTTATTGTTGAGGCTTAGCAAGGTGCTTTCATTCAGTATGAAATGGAACTGCAGTCATTTGCCCTGCACAGAAGCTCAAGCCCTTGAAAACCAACCACTGAAGAGCTGGTAGGGAGAACTGATGTTCACTAAGACCAATAACTGCAATATTCATGAAGATGATATGGATGTAAATATTCACAAAATGTTGGAACCAGATTTGCTGGTTGATAGGCCTAGACCAGAAGTGTGGACTTCTTAGTATCTCTTAATCTATTCATTTTGCATTAATTCAAAGTCACTAATTCCTGATGAAAAATATAATTACCCAGGCTTATTATTATTATTATTATTATTATTATTATTATTATTTTTGCTTTTAACTATTTTCTGTTTGTTTGGATTTCCCCCATATTTTTTATCTGGATAGTCAAGAGATATCAAGCTCACTTGCAGAAGGAAAAGATAGTTTGGCCACATTTTCAATAGGGGCAGACTTACTTCTTTCATTGGTTATTCTCTTGGCTGTTTTCAAGCCAAGAACACTAATAGTTGAGACTTCCAACTGTTCTCAAATGCAGACACTCACAGTTTGAGAGGTCATGACAAAACTCGTATCATTTGCCATGAAATACTTGGAGAGTGACTCAAAGCCTCATGAGAGCCATTATAAAAAATGAGCTGGGATAGAATAACCTATTAGGTATTAGTAAAAAAAAAAATAGACACATACACAGGTGGACAGTGAAAGGATTAATTTACTCCTTTTTCTCCAGGTGTGTGTGTGTGTGTGTGTGTGTGTATGTGTATTTGAGAATTATACTAATCTGTCCATATGAAATGGGTCATAAGTACAGATGTCACTAAGGCAGAGTCTTTAAAAATGTAACTGTCAAAACAATTTTTGGCATAAATGTGAAATAGCCTATCTAATAGAGGGGATTATTAAAGACATTTGAGATAGTTTCTTGGTGGCATTACTGCGTAAATGCTTTTAGAATTACTGGTAGCAAAGCAGGAAATAAAGATAGTCAACATTTTTTTTTAATGTTTTATTTATTTCTAGGAGAGAGAGAGAAAGAGAGACAGTGTGAGCAGGGGAGGGTCAGAGAGAGAGGGAGTCACAGACTGAAACAGGCTCCAGGCTCTGAGCTGGCAGTCAGCACAGAGCCCGATGTGGGGCTCGAACCCACCAACCGCGAGATCATGACCTAAGCGAAAGTCGGACGCTCAACCGACTAAGCCACCCAGGCGCCCCTAGTCTTAACATTTTGACTGATTTTGTACATAAAGAATGCAAACATTTGCATAACTTGGGTTTCTATATTTGGTCAGAAGATAAGTTTAGTTCCTTCGATTGGAAGATAGAGATGGCTTCTTATTAAAGGGGCTACACCTTGCATGGTTGAAGTGTTGCTTGCATGTCAGCAACTGCAGTCATTTGGAACAGGGTTTGGAGATCTAGTAGACTTGGTCATTTAATTGTCAGTTGGAGCCTTGCCCAGAACTTTAATAATTACTGCATTATGACAATGCTTGAGGAAATACATTGAAAATATTCCCATCTATTAATGTATAGCCATGTTAACAAGGATTATGGTTATCAGGTGGCAAAGTTAGGTGTCCCATTGCCAGCTAAATGAATTAGATTGTCATTTTTTTTTTTTTTTTGGACATGAAGGATATTAAGCACCTCAAATTTTTAACCTGAGATTGGATGCTTAAATTTTACTGCCTCACTGAAATGACCTATACAGTGGAGTTGAACCTTATGCTACAATGTCAGGGAAATACAGTTAGGACTCTAGAGGAGGCAGTATTTAAATTTGACTTACGATTTACTATTTTCACTGAATATACAAAGACGTGCAGATCAGCATGTTTCCAAGGATTATGAATGTTTCACAAATGAACAGATTTCTTTACAAAGATATTTCAGTGGCTCGCTAAATTTCATCATCACCGCAAAGGACATACAACCAGTCTCACGCATAGGTACTGAGATTCGAACACGATTTGCCCTGGAGAAACTCTCACTATCCAGCGTTCTCTGTAATCTTTTTTTGCATCTTGAACATATTTATGGCACCTGTTCTTCATTCAAGATTCAAGTGCCTTTGAACATTTTTTTGAGCATTCCCTTTATGTGGGATTCTCACTTCATCTGACATAGGCATCTTCGTTTGGCATATAAAATGGGTTGTTTTACTTTGAATTGCAAACCTGTCTCCTCCACTCTTAACTCATGAAGGCACAAGACCATATCTTCTTATATTCCCTGTGCCAAGTCTGCGGCTATCTCAATAAGTGTTTGTTACAGTAACGGAAAGTGTAATTGGGAGATAGACCCCATATATAAGATAAAAGGTAACAGTGGAAAGGAGTATATAGCAGGGACACGATTAGTTGTATAAGCCATAAATAACATAGGAGTTTGCCAGAAAAAAGGTAGTGGGGTAAAATTTCCAGAAAGGGTAGGAGGGAGCTGAGAGATAAAGGAGGTTTGTGATGTGTGTCGAAAAGAAGTAGATTTGGTGAGGGCATTTCAGACAGCATAGGGACAAATGAGCTTGTGATAAGGATGGGTTAGATGACCAATTAATACATAATGAAAGATTTTTGCAGTGGTGTAAAAGAAATGGATAATGTTGATAAAATATTTGTCCTTAATGGGAGATGATATTGGAAGAAAAGATCTTTTTGGGTGTGTACACTTTGAGTTGAAGGTGGCATTGTTACTGTGGGCCTAGATTTTGGGATCATTTATATATACCTAGCTGAAATCTTAAGATTAGGTACATATCTAGTACAAAGAATATGGAAATTGTGAGTTCTTTGGAGTTCAAATTGCTTATTGATTTTTATAAACATAGAGTTGAACTCCTATTTATGAACATCTCCCTTAATATGCCAGACCAATTACAGACAAAAGTAGGGTTTATGGTCCTGTTCTGATGGTACAGATGCTACTGTGTTGTACATAAAGATAGGATTAATATATTAAATCAATGGAATGGATTATATCCAGAACCTTATTATCATTATAATTGGCTTATATCTAAAGCCAAATCATTTGGGTGATTTAGATGATGAGATTTGAGAAGTTTGAGCTAATAGATTTAGGTGAGATTTTTGGATTTTGAGTTGACGCCCTAATGGATGAGACCTTTGGGGACCTTGAAAAATGAACAGTTTTCATATGGGAAGGATGTGAATCATGGGGGCCAGATGGTGGGCGATGGTAGGTAGAATTTTGGCTTCTGTGACCTTTGCCATTTGCTGTCATGCTTGTTGTTTAGGATATTTTACATGGCAAAAAGACTTTTTTTAAATGTTACTGAGGTTAACAATTAGCTAATCTTAAGATGGGAAGATAATTCTGGATTATCAGAGTGGGCCCAACATAATACTGTGAGTCCTTAAAAGTACGCAAAAAGTTGAACAGGAAGTTAGAGATGTGGCAGAAGGGAAGGTGTATAGATCTGGAGTGTGAGAAGGTCTTGATGTGCCACTGCTGGCTTTGATGGCAGAGGGCATCCCAAGCCAAGGTCTGCAGGAGGGCTCTAGAGGTTGGGAATGAACCCTAGCCAACAACCAGCAAGGAAAAAGAACTTCATTCCTTCAACCATAAGGAAATAGGTTTTGCCAACTACTGAAGTGAATCCTTTTTAGAGCCTCCAGAGAAGAGCCCTACAGACTGACACCTTGATTTTGGCCTTGTAAGATCTAAAATAGAGGACTCAGGAGAGCCCAGTCCAGATTTTGGCCTAGAGAATAAGAAAATAAATAGATATTTTAGGGGTGCCTGGGTGACTCAGTCGGTTAAGTGTCCGACTTCGGCTCAGGTCATGATCTTACGGTTCGTGGGTTCGAGCCCCGCGTCGGGCTCTGTACTGACAGCCAGCTCAGAGCCTGGAGCCTGTTTCATATTCTGTGACTCCCTCTCTCTCTGATCCTCCCCTGCTCATGCTGCCTCTCTCTCTCTCTCAAAAATAAATAAAACATGAAAATAAATAAAAATAAAAGAAAATAAATAGATATTTTAAACTGCCAAGTTTTCAGGAATAGAAAACTAATACAATTAATGTTGGTGTCCAGTCATATTATACATAGGTTAATGGCCTAGGCATATACAGTGTGTGTTTAGATCTCACTCAGTTACACCCTATTCTTGTGGAAGAGGAAGATGGGCAATCAACGAATTGCAGCAATAAGCCATGGGCACTTCCACTGTTGGAGTCTTGGTATACTTTGAGTATTACTGGCATTTCTTGAGAATAGCCTTTCATGGTTGACCTCATACCAATTAGCACATACAACTGCCTTAAGGAACAAGGATGCTTCAACTTTCTTATTGCTCCTTTCTGAGTTCTGTACGTCCCCTTGGTACACTGGGGGTCCATGTTCTTTGGTCCTTCTCAAAGACCTGTCAATTCTTATGCATATACATATACTTATTCAGCTACTCAACCCTTTCAGAGCTAATAAAAAATGATTAAGTACTGTTACTTGCAAGCTACCCCTTGCTTTCTTATGGACTGGCTATGGTGCAAAGCTCTAATACTAGCTGACATCTCTCTCAGCTCCAGGCAACCCTTGTTTCTGAGACTGTTTAGAATAGGGTAAATATTAAAATGGAAAAAGGGTTTAATTATTAAGGCAGGTTCAATCAGGGAATCCATAGTATGACACCATTATACTATTAGGAGAGATAACAGAATTTACCTCCATCTTTTCTGTTCTCTGGGCTAAAAAGCACAGGTGTGATGCACCTCCCTGTTATCTTTCTGACACCTCTGTAGATGCTAGTGTCTTGATCTGGTTTAGTTTTTCATATTAATTGAATTTAATCTAGTTAAATTACACCTGAAGCGACTGTTTTCATCAGCTGTGTCAGTGGAATCACCAAGCACTCAGTTTATTTCATAATTTTCCTCTAGTCTTTTTGGGTCTTGCAGAACGTTTTATATCTCTTGGGACAAAACTATTTCTTTAAAAGAAAAAAAAAACTTAAGCTCATAGGAAAACCTCTTAAGAATGTGAATCTTTCCAAAACATAAAGTAATGTTTTCAAAAAGTAAATGTTAATCGTTGATATATAATTCACTTAATAGCTGTGGGTGTTGGGGCCCTCAAAAAATTCTGTGCCAGGAATGTATGTGTCGTTTTCAATTTTTTACTATGGCTTGCTTGATAGCCAAATCTGACTTTCTTTCTTTTGTTCTTTTTAAAATTAGGGATTATGTACCCATGATAAATTGCATAACAACAAAAATTCTAATTTTGCCTCTGGTTCCACAAAAGCAAGAAAGAGTTAATGCAAATGAAAATGGTACCCAGCCAAATCTGGACTAAGAAAGGTTAAAAAAAAAAAAAAAAAAAAAAAGCAACTCCCCCACCCCAAAACAGTTACTCAGCAACCAAATTTATCCTAAAGGCCCAGACTGTGAAAAAAATGGTGAATTCTGGGTCCACAATTGGGGACCAGGGAGATAGAGCATTTTAGTACCAACTTAATCTTTTTCCTGCAAATTAACCTTGAACTTGTTTTATCTTGTTTCTAGGGTTTAGACTACTCAATTCAGCTCAATTCCATAGAACAGAGTGAATATTTAAGGCAAGATGTGAGATACAGAAACATAAACGTACAAAAACTCTCAAGAGCTGACTTACAAAATACTACCTTTGGTGTTAAAGTTTGCAAGCTTTCACCCTGTTTTCATGTCATGTACAAATAATATATTCTAATAATCATGAAAATAACCTACTGATGCTCTGTCTAGGATCATGCCCTGAGATCACGTAGCTCTTACTCTGCCCACTCTTAGTGAGTAAGCTCTTTGCTACTTTTCCTCATCTAGACAGTTGTTGAGATGTGCCATTCAGATGTAGGTCCAGGACTTCAACAGCTTCAGCTAGTCAGCCCGCTGCCTGATGAAAAACAATTTGAAGAAAGACCTCACCTCGGAAGACATTAATGAGCATCTAGGATAAAATAGCAGAATGAAAAACAGTAGGTCCCTTTGGAATGTCTTGGAATTATACTAGAAAGAACGTAAGGAAATAATATTTCACTTGGGGATTTTATGATCCCTTGAATTCATGTGAACATTCTCTGATGCTGAGTCTTACTTAACCTTTTTGTAGCCTTCAACTTCTATAACAAACAGGATCCAACTCAAAACTAAACCACTTTTCAGCCAGAGCCTTTGCTCCTCTATGTCCTGAGTCCAGTTAGCAGTTCACCTACATATATGTATATTTATATATTTCCAGCAAATCAGATAATTTTTTAAAGCCTGTTGCCAACAAGAGCACAGATGGTAGTTTGGAGTTTTAGTAAAATGTGAAAGCATTTATTATAATGCATTATAATTTTTATATTTAATTTTTCACATTTAATTACATTTGGAAGCTGCATGCATAGTTATAGAAGAGATGCCCTATGGAAGTCAGAGCAAGTAATCATCCCTCATCACCCTCCCTTTGTCCTCTCTCACCCCGTCCTGTGTTCCTGCCAACCCTCTATTCTGAATAGAGTCCGGAGTGTCTCAACTTTTTAAAAAATAATTATTTACTTATTTTGAGAGAGAGAGTGTGTGTGTGTGTGTGTGTGTGTGTGAGGGCACCAGTGTGGGAGGAGCAGAGAGAGAAGGAAAGAGAGAAGCCCAAGCGGGCTCAGCACTGTCAGCACAGAGCCTGACGTGGGCTTGACTCCACCAAGTGTGAGGTCATTTCGGTTCATTTGAATTGAAATCAAGAGTTGGACACTTAACAGACTGAGCCACCCAGGCACCTCAGAGTGTCTCAACTTCTTTTTTTTTAATTTTTTTTTTTTTTTTTTAAATTTCTGAGGGAGAGAGACAGCGTGAGCAGGGGAGGGTCAGAGAGAGAGGAACACACAGAATCTGAAGCAGGCTCCAGGCTCTGAGCTGTCAGCACAGAGCCCGAAGCGGGACTCGAACCCACGAACCGTGAGATCATGACCTGAGCCGAAGTCGGACGCTTAACCGACTGAGCCACCCAGGCGCCCCCAGAGTGTCTCAACTTCTTTTTTTTTTTTTTTTTTTAATTTCTGAGAGAGAGAGACAGCGTGAGCAGGGGAGGGTCAGAGAGAAGGAGATACAGAATCTGAAACAGGCTCCAGGCTCTGAGCTGTCAGCACAGAGCCCAATGCAGGGCTCGAACCCACGAACCATGAGATCACGACCTGAGCCGAAGTCGGATGCTTAACCGACTGAGCCACCCAGGCACCCCCAGAGTGTCTCAACTTTTAATGTACATGCAAATCAACCAGAGAACTTGTTAAATCATGATTCCTAGACATCGCCCCCTAAGCATTATAATTCAGTAGGTCTGGGGCAGAGTCTAATAACTTGCATTTCTAACAAGCTTCTAATTGACGCTGATGCTGCCATTTGGGGGCTATACTTTTGTAGCAATGGACAACTTTACCAGCTGGCCTATAACTAAGGAAAAGATGATAAGCCTGTTGAGTTGGGGAGGGACGGGAAGGAAGCAAGAGTGCTAATGGAAACTACTACCTTTAATGAGGTCTCTATGACAAAACTACCTTTCTCCTTTTACAGAAGCAAATCCAGAGAAATTCAACAGTCGTTTTCGAAATAAAATGTTCTATGCAGGGGTAAGTATACAGCACATCTATAATGATTCCATATTATTTAATACTAATTCATCATCGGTAATAAGGATACTAACTGTATTAAAAAATAATTACACATCTTAGATGTTTACAACTATGTCTATTATGGTTAAGGTTTAATGTCTTGGTTTAAGAGTAAATATATTTAAGTTGGTAGAAAGAGAGCTGGTGTTCATCATCTTTGAACTTTAAAGCCTTAAAGCTTCATGTTGTACTGAGGAGATGACATTTAAGGAGTGATATGAAAAACATCAAAGCCAATTTAGAGAATGGGAGATTCAGACAGACTGAAAGATGTGTGTAAAGTCTTGGGTAGGAATGTGGTTTGAACAGAAGAACATATACATCAATGTTGGGAAGAGAAACTGATAGAGGATATAGGTTCTCATGGAAGGGAAGGGGATCTTTTTTCCTTCTCAGGAGCATCCTTGAGCATGAATGGCTAGGAAGAGGGGAGACATGAAGGCTTCCAAAAATACCGATTTTAAAGAAAATGTAGTTAATTTATACCACTGGATAGAGAAAATCGAAATAAAAGGGGAGAGGGTAAAGCCAGACATTCTTGGTGGCAAGTTGAAGATGATTTCAGCACACTATCGCTAAGTAAGAGGTCAAGAAAGGTTGTCAAAATAAATCTGCAAATTGGTCCTTGGAATTAGCTACTTTTTCACTTTTCTACCATGTTCTTAAATTTTAAAATAGGTTGTAGTTTGAAAACAAAGTTTTCATCTTGACAGCCACTGCATTTTATTTTGGATTCATTGGAAAAAAAGGAACTTGTTTTATATTTTTGAATAATTTAGAAGCATTAGGAACTATCTATAATACATAAGCAAGGATTTGGCATAACCATGTGATTAAGTTTGTGTTTTTTTTTCCCCTCTTTTTCTCCTTTTGTAGGCAGCTTTTTCGGATTTCCTACAGAGAAGCTCTCGAGATCTATCCAAACATGTTAAAGTTGTTGTAAGTACTGAATGTATTGACTCATTTCATTTTGTTGTTGTTGTTGTTGCTTTATTTATTTAAATTCAAGTTAACATATAGTGTAGTGTTGGTTTCAGGAGTAGAACCCAGTGATTCATCACTTACATATAACCCAGTGCTCATCCCAACAAGTGCCCTCCTTAATCCCTATCACCCATTTAGCCCATCCCCTACCCTCCTCCCCTCCAGCAACCTTCAGTTTCTTCTCTATATTTAAGAGTCTCTCACGGTTTGCCTCCCTCTCTTTTTATCTTATTTTTTCTTCATTTCATTTGAATATAAATATACTATAAAAATGTACCCCAAATACCAGATTATATACTTAGATTAATCAATGGGCTGCCTGAATTTCAGAGATGATTTAATGTAGTTCACTCAACCAACATTTCTGAGAATTTAGCTCTGTGTTGGGAAATGTCTTGGATTGGTGGATGGATGGTCAACTAGTTTCACTCCTGAAGAAATACACAGTTCAGTTACAGGAAAGGGGATATAAGTCATTGCATAATACTATTTAATTAATGTTGTTTACTACATATGCAATATAGTGGTGGTACAAAGAAGGAAATGGAAACTGACCATGGTGGGTTCAGGGAAACTTTCATCAAAGAAGTGATGTTGATCTGAGTCTTGATGTAGAAATAGATGCTCACCGAACAGATATCTTTATTCCAGGGCTATTTGGAGGAGTCTCCATTTTAGAAAAATGCCTTTATTTTTATCATTTCATTATGATTCCCTCTGTAGCCTGTAGTCTGGCTAAGGTTCTTCACCACTGAATGGTTGATTGGTTTGTTTTTGGTGCTGTTTCTTCTTGGGTTGCTATCTCGGGTTTAAGACACACATTCTTCGGAGGCATGAGAGAGGGAAAGTTACCTTTACTTGAGGAGCTATATTTTAAAGTAGCATATTATTAGTTATTAAGAAAGACATAAAGTGTTTCCTTTTAGTAACCAAATTAAAAAGGATCAAATGAAACTTTGTTCTACATAATTGTCTAAGAAAAAGAAATGAGAAAGAAGAAGTGGAGTATAGCAATGCTTGAATTTTTCATAGCATAAATAAAGAATAGAGTATGTGATGAGAGGGGACAAAATAGCAGAAATATATTAGAATAGAGAAAAATATATATGGGTGTGTAGAGGAGCAGGAGAAGGATATAAATTAAAATCGGTAATCACCATGCAGCAAAAACAGTTCTAAGAGGGAAGCTCAGACCAATACAGACCTATGTCAAAAAAATAAGAAAAACATCAAGCAACGGAACTTGACATCTAAAGAAGAAGAACAACAAAGCCCAAAGCCAGTAGAAGGAAGGAAATAATAAAGCTTAGAGCAGAAATAAATGAAATAAAGACTAAAAAGGTGATAGAAAAAAGATGAATAAAATGAGGAGCTGGTTCTTTGAAAAGATAAACAAAATTGATAAACCTTTAGTGAGACTCATCAAGACAAAAAGAGAGAGAACTCAAACAAAACCAGGAATGAAGGAGGATGAATAACAACCGACACCACAGAAATACAAAGGATTTTAAGAGAATATTATGAAAAATTATATGCCAACAAACTGGTCAAATCAGTTGAAAGAAGAGATAGAGGCCATTACCACTGCTGTACATGACCCTTGGCATCACTTTCAGGTAATTCAGTTCTCATGTGATAGCAGTGAAAACAAGCATCTTTTAGTCATAGTGATTCTTGAAAATGGAGGTACTGCCTTCTTAAAGCAAGAGGCAAGAAAGACATTGGTCCACTAAGCTATGAAGCTCTTTTATTGATAAAATTATTGTTATAAAGTTTAAATAGCTTAAAATTTCAGCAACCTCCCATCAGACTTCCCCTGTTTCTTCAGCCACTGGCAACCCAGACAAAAATAAACTTACCCTGTTTTTCCAGTATTTTTCACACTTAGAGGAATGGCGGCGGCACATGCCCAGGGGCAGTGGCCATATTGAATGGTGTTGACTGTTGAAGTTAGCTGCAATCAGGTGAAACTCCATATACTCCCTAACCACTAGACAGTTTGTTTCCCACATCTAACAGCCCTCTTGATGATGAATGTCTCACTCCTAGGCAGGTTATATAGCAGGAATTAAAGGAAGCTTGCAAAGAAGTAAAAATGGTGGCCAAGTAACAGGAAAGATTTGATATCAGCCAGTACAGGCAAAATTCCAGGTGGATTTGTTTGTGTAACCCTATCTTATTTGTGTGTGAGGAGCAAAAAATATTGGACACAAGATCTAAATGTTTGGGATTCAGTCCTGTCTACCTTTATGAGGTATATGACTTTGGGGGGAATCACGTAATCGTTCAGAAGAGTTTACTTTCCTTGTTTAAAACAGGCATAATAAGACATGTCTTTGAAACAAAAATTACTGACCCATGTGATGTGTCACACAGGGACCCCAGATATTTCTATAAGGACATCACCGTATGTTTTCTTGAGTGAGAGATGGAAAGGATAGAAGATTAGCTACTGATTCGATGTATCGATAACAACAGACCATTTCATTTTTGCCACAGGGTTAAGTCATTGCTAATTTCTCCCATAAGTGTAAAGTGTTTGTATGAATAATACATCAAAAAAGCACAGGACAGCAACAAAATCCTCTGTTTTCCTTATGGCTTATCAATATGAGAGCTTGTGTACAGGAACCTATTTTATATGCAGATATTTTCCTTTGTGTGTTTGAAGTAGAAGAAAGTTGAAAGCTGTTGTTCTAAAGAGATGCAAAATTTAAAGGTAGTAATATGTAAGAAAACTTGATAAAGCATGATACTTTGTAAGGTACCCATCTTTATGTAATTTGATGAATTCCCAGTCACTGATATGTTTCCCAGGAAGAAAAAGTAGAAAATTAAAAAAGATTTCTATTTTAAATACAATAATTTTATAGTTTCTTTCTGTAAGGCAAACAATACTGCTTTGTATGCTATTAATGTATCACATCCTATATATATATTTAAATTTTTAAATGTGTATTTATTTTTGGGAGAGAGAGAGAGACAGAGTGTGAGCAGGGAAGGGGCAGAGAGAGAGGGAGACACAGAATCAGAAGCAGGGTCCAGGCTCTGAACTGTCAGCATGGAGCTCGATTCAGGGCTCGAACTTACAGACTACGAGATCATAACTTGAGGCATAGTCAGATGCTTAACCCACTGAGCCACCCAGGTGCCTGCATCAGATCCTATTTTTAAAGTTTTAGTTATTTACAACATTCAATTTTGATAATTTAAAATATCTTCCTTGATATAGTCATCTGTCAACTCATTTCAAGTCCTTAAGTTGGGAGACTTCATATTTTCTTAGTATCTGAGAGTATTGTAAAAACACCTCCAATCAATACCTAGAATTTGATTTCTTTCTTGGTAACATTTTAAAATATATTGTTTATTTAGGCCTAATGTTTTCTGGAAACAATTGTTGGAGCATGCTCATGAATATTGGGCTGTATTAAGATCAGCTGGGAAAAGAATGAGACAAAAATACTAGTAGAGTCATTGTTCTTAGATTAAAGTCTTTAGAGCTCTTTAAAGAAGTCCAGGCTTGCAGGGAGCTTGGGAATACATTACTCTGCACTCCAAAGGGGAAGATAATGGGGAATTCTGTGATAAAGATGTGGGGGAGAGCAAGTACAAAAGTACACCTTTGACATTGAGAAGTCTGTCATGACTAGAAGTTTCTTCTTTTGACTTTCGTCACCTGTGGGAAACGGGAAAGGGGAATAGTCAGAGGATACTCAAGGAAAGTGCTAACCGGTAAGGGAAACTCTGTACAGAGGTATTGAGGCCAGGCCAGCCTGACGCCCTTGAAACACCCAGGGTCATGTCCAGATCCAGGAAGGCAATTTATCTCAGAAGTCCGGTCAAGTCTGTAAGACATTAAATATATATGAGCAAATCCCTAATAGAGATACCACTAATTTATAACAGTTTTTTAAAAGCGTGCAGTATATATTCCTCTTAAAGTGTTTTCAAAACATTAGTGTTTAACATTTTCAAAATAAAAATTGAGCTCAGAAAGCAAATAAAATGAATGATTATATTCATCCCTGTTGTTTGGGTCAGATAACTATGGTGGAGATCACTACTGTCTGAACTTGAGGCTTCCTTTTTATTTCCTTAAGGATTCATAAATCTTTTAATGTTGATACGACAATTCAAAATGCCTAATAATCCAAGATTAAGAATGATGGCAATTCCTTTGTTTGTGAGACCAGAAAAAAAAAAAAAGATTACTTTGGTCAAATGGCAGCTTTGTTTCTACATCAAAACAAAACCATGCTCTGAACCCTGGATCTGCTAAAGTTAAAGTCAGAATACATTTTCAGTCATGGTACTGGACATTCACTTATGCAGCGCTGGGGGCAGGGGGAAGACCATGATATATGCCACTGTGTCAACCTAGTTATCTTTTGATAATGTTTCTAGACTTGTGGCCACTTCATCCCCACTTTTCTGCTTTGCTTCTTGCAGTGTGATGGAACAGATCTCACTCCAAAGATTCAGGAACTGAAGTTCCAGTGTATAGTATTTTTAAATATACCCAGGTAAGCTCTGTTCTTACTTTTTCTCTGGTTTTATGTGCGCTCTGTTTATCTTGAGGTTATCAGTTTTCATTATAGAAAATTTCCAGGTATGAACAGTGCAAGTAAGTTATCTTACTGACTTATTAGGGGCTTCTAGGTCTGACAGTTTTGTTTTACTTGGTTGTTTAGTGTTCTCTGTGGTGGGTGTTTTTTGTCTTTTAATGTGATGTGGCATGCATGGTATACACATCCATCGTTAAGAAACCCAGGCACCCCTATTTATTGGAACATTTTAATGTAATTCTCAATTACTGATTCTCTCTCCCTCCCAAGAATAATAGGCTTGAATAAATACTTGCTCTCAGTTTCCCAAAAGCTGTTAGGAAACCATCCAGCCTGATTTTAGTATGGAACACATTCAAAATCGTTGCTAGATGATTGCTTTGAAAAAAAAAATAGGATCAATTAGAGTAGCATTTTCTAGCCAGGATGTCAACTCTCTTTGGGCTATTATATACCTCAGGAGAAAGGGATATTTAAGATTAACTAGACTCAAAATAAGCACATTATCTCAGTGGTACAAAATTAGAGTCTAGGCTCCCCAGCCAAGATTTTGGAAGGGATGGGTCTATGACCCTTTGTTATTCACAAACACACAACTCAAGACAGAGAATCTGCAGATAAGTTCTATTTAGACCAAGTTTAATTGAAATGAGAGTTGTATGTAAATCTATGGCTAGGAAAACATATTATAGCCTCCTGATTATTTTTTGGCAGTGCTCAATGTAGTCCTATTCCAGAAGGACTTTTATCTTCATCATTTAAGTAAAAGACCTAGATGAGGCACCTGAGTGGCTCAGTGGGTTGAACATCCGACTGTTGATGTCAGCTCAGATCATGACCCAAGGATTGTGGAATCAAGCCCTGTGTCCGGGTCCATGAGTATGGAGCCTGCTTGAGATTCTCCGCCCCCCCCCCCCCACCGCTGACCCTCTCCTCCCCTACCCCCCCGCTGACCCTCTCTCCCCAGCTCATGCTCTTTTTCTCTAAAGTAAATTAAAAAGTTAAGTAAAAGACTGAGATACTCAGGAAACATTGTTGATTAGCTTTCTTTAATTTTTTCTCATTTGCTTCTTCTTGCTTTCTCTCCATTCCTCTTCCTCTACTTTTCCAATTTCTTTTTTTCTCCTTCTTTTTCTTAATCTTTTGTCTTTTCTGCCTACCTTCCTCACTCTTCTTCAGTTACCTTTCACTGCTTACCTTCCCAGCGGTTATTTATTGTCTTAGTTCCGCACATAATAACCACTGCTTACCCACCACAGTTTCCTTTCCCTTTTCTGCTGGCATGCAGTGCCTTCCTCCAAGACCAAATTCTGAAACTCATGGCATAGCCTAGAAAAGAGACATAATGGATCACTGAGTGAGAAATGTTATTAAATAATGGGTTAGGAGAAAGTTGGGCGCCATAAGATGCTTTTATTATAAAACTGTGGTCCGTTTCCGCAGATGGATATTTGGAAATGATAAATCCATTTTCTTTTCTATTGGAAAGTATACACCAAGAACAGAAAACCATTCTTTATTTTTTTAATTTTTAACATTTTTTTAGTGTCTGTTTTTGAGAGAGAGAGAGAGAGAGAGAGACAGCGAGAGTGGGAGAGGGACAGAGAGAGAGGGAGACACAGAATTCAAAGTAGGCTCCAGGCTCTGAGCTGTCAGCACAGAGCCCGACGCTGGGATGAACCCACGAACCACGAGATCATGACCTGAGCTGAAGTCAGGCGCCTAACCAACTGAGCCACCCAAGGGCCCCCAGAAAACCATTCTTAAGTGAGATACACATTGGATCTCACTGTAAGGTAATACCTAATAACAATCACAAGAGGAATGGAATAAATTTATTTCTTTTTTAAAATCTTATCTTGCAGATATTGTGCTGGCACAATGCCCTGGGGGAACCCAGGAGATCACCATGATTTTGAACCTCAGCGTCATGATGATGGTTATATTGAAGTAATTGGATTCACTATGGCCTCTTTGGTGAGCAGTACAATATTTTATTGAAATGAAATACATTTCAGTCACAGAGTTTATTCATGTCATAGATTTTTGGTTTTTAATTTTTAGACTTAATTTTTAGACTTTAATTTTCTCTCCTGTTTTACCAGTTTATAAATTTTATGTAATACAGAAATGCTTGGGGAAAACATGAACAAAAAACCCCAATTCTTTATTGTCACTAAGAAAATTGTGCACACTTGTATGAACTTCAAAAATAAGTATTATTTGTTAGTTATCCTGGTTAATTTTCTACCACAGTGAAATACAAAGTGCTTAGGGAAATTAAAAAGCATTATGCCACAGACATTCTAGCATTAATGCAGAAACCTTGCCATTTGATAGCTTTTTGTTTCACTAAGGACTAGAGTGTTAAGGTAGAAAGAAAGGTGCTTATTTGCATTTCTATTTATCTTGCCTGCTTAAGTAAAATGTGGACATCTCCATTATCACAAAATACCTGAATAAAGAAAGACATCATTATTGTGATGTTAATGAATATTCATTTGCTACAGTATTGAGATTAACTTTGCATTTTAATTTTGTTTGCATGCATCAAATTGTGAATTACAGCATAACAGTAGTTTCCAGCAGGTTTTAGCTGTGTATTTCAACCTATTATTGAATGATGAGGAAATCAGTTAAAAATTATGCATCTCACCTTATGTGGTATAAATTAGGCTGCCTATCAGTTTATAAAGTGAATTAAAAAATTTAAAACTTCTTGCAGCCCGTGGTTAGCACTTGGTGTGTGCTATGCCTGATGGCTGCAGGTAAGAAGGTTGTATTTCTTGTTCTAAACAAGCGATAGCAACTCTTAGCATCTCATCTTGTGGATTCCTACTGACTTTTCCTCAATCACTTCAAGTTGCTGAGATCTAAGAGAATAGCCTCTAGTGGTTGTGGCAAGAATGCCCATCACCCGAGATGGTGATATTGCTCATTAAATCTGCCATCTCTGGGATGAAATGATTGTTAAATGTGGAAGATTGGTCTGGATGGATCTAATTTTCAGGGTTGTATCTCATACTCAGCTCTTTCTCTCCAAAGGCCTTTTATGCTAATTACAGGCAAAGATTCAGCCAAGAACAAATATAGGAATCAATTCAAGAAGCTTGTGTGCAAGGTAGAATTCTTGGAGGTGACCAAAAAAAGCCTTAAACCTGGCCACGTGTGTTTTGCTCATTCATGTATTTGTGGATTAAGTGAACATTTATTGAACGTTTACTAATGTGCCAGAACTTTCTGGTCATGATTATGTGGCAGAAGGCTGTCAGGGAATGTGGAAGAGAAAATGATCCTTCACATAGGCTTAGAAGGGCAGGAAGAATATTAGATACTTCCCCATCACTCTCAGAATCAAAATCTAAATGTAGGCCTGCAATATTGAGTTTCTCTCTAATTCTCTAGCCTTTCTCACTGTCTTCTTTGCTTTCTAGCTCAAGTAGCCTCTCAAGTCAAGCTTAGCTTTGAACACCTCTTGTTGCTTTTGCACCACAGGGCCATTGCATATGCCATTTCTCTCTAAAATGTTCTTTCACTGTCCATCTTCTGTAACTTCTCAGTCCATATCTATGTCAGATTATTTTTATAGCCTTCCTTGAGTTATTTTTGTTTACAGTTGTGTCGTGCCTGGACAGGAAAGAGATAGTAAACTGAGACTGGGTAATTAGAGGAGAGTTTATGGAGGGACTCTACAAATAGTGAACGAGGTTTATAAGAAGGAACAATGGATGGTGGTGTATTCCTGAGCTGAAGGTGCAAAGGTAAGGAAGCAGTCATCTGTACCCCAAGGAGAACTATTTGGGAAGGACCCCTTGATAGTGTTTGCTAAGCAGAAGTAGTCAGCCAGTGCCACCCTGGCAGGCGGAGAGCTGGAGCCCTGGATATGGTGACCTTACTCTTCCTGGCCCTATAGATCTTCTGCTGGTGCCTTCCTCTGGAGAAGTCTAACCAGAAGCCAGAGGACAAGGCTTCTTTCTTGTCAGACAAGTGTAGGTGGGTCACGATCCCAGGGCAAGAAGGAGGGCAGGAAAGGGTGGAGTGCCAGCGAGGAGCGGCAAGTGGCGGATATCCATCACTCCAGCCTGCGTCTGCCACACAGCAGAGAGCCTGATTCCTGGAGTTGGCATGAACAAATGTGGCAGAGTGAATGAATTTTGCCAGGAGAAGAGGAATGGGATTTGGCATTCTGTAGAAAGAAACATTTATATACGCTTGCAGGTATCAGGGAGTCCTCATATGGGAACTATATAGTCCTCTATGGGAACTATAATTCATTTTATGGAGATGAAAAGTGTGAGTGGTAGTTGATGCTGGAGAGATAGGCATGGACCAGATCATGGAGTGATTATAGTATTCATCTAGAGATTTTGATTTTATTCCAAAGTCACTGGGAAATTAGTGAAGTGTGTTTTTAAATAAGTATTTGTTATGGGAAGAGTCCAATATAAAAATAAACAAAATAATATATTGAACCCTTATGTACCATCACCTAGGTTCTATAAAATTCAACTGATAGGCAGTCTTCTATCTGTCCCCACCTGCTTTATATTAATGTGAAGCATGACTCAAACATTATATCATTTCCTTACAAATACTTCTGAATATGCCTTTAAAAGATAGGCCTTTGTTTTATAAACATGATTACACACCTTATATCTGAAAAAAAAATAAGACAGTAGCATCTGACTATCACTATTTACTGAGTGCTTAAATTTCCAGTTGCCTTGCAAATATCCTTTGTTTTCTTATGCTCTGTGAATTTGAACCAGGATCTGAGTTAAATTCATTTGTTGCGATTGATTGATAGAACTCTTAAGTATCTCTGGGTTTCTGTCCATCTCTTTATCTTCTTCATTTATTTATTGGGAAAAAAAAAAAAACCAGGCTATTTGTCCTGTAAAGTTTCCTTGAGTCTGAATTGTGCTAATGATATCCCATAGGTGTCAACTCACATGTTCTTCTGTCTTGCTCTTTCCTTTTTTTTTTTTTTTAATGTTTTATTTATTTCTGAGAGAGAGAGAGGCAGCATGAGCAAGGGAAGGTCAGAGAGAGAGGGAGATACAGAATCCGAAGCAGGCTCCAGGCTCTGAGCTAGCTGTCAGCAGAGAGCCTGATGCGGGGCTGGAACCCACAAACTGTGAGATCATGACCTGAGCCGAAGTTGGATGCTTAGCCTACTGAGCTACCCAGACACCCCCTTGCTTTTTTCTTTAAGTTGATAATTGGATATAGGTGCATCACCTCCATCCCTGGCGACCAACAAACCTACTTCGTGGTTAGTGTTCTCTTTTTCCAAAAGCTGATAGGTGACATCTGGTTGTCCCTCTGTTTGGGTTAATAGTCCTGGATGATCATTGTCTGGATCCGGCAGTCAGTGATTTAATAGCATCTTCTGATGGTGGCTGGTTTTTAAATGGATTCTAGGTTTTTGGACACTTACCCATTACGAGTTTGGGTCTATGCGCCATCCCTGGAGTCTGGGTGGGCTTACAAATACTTGGCAAATCAGGTACAGTGGAAGTAACACTAGGTAACTTGTGATGCTGGATTATGAAAGGCCATGCAGCATATGGGAAATACAGGCAATACTGATGGCCTCTAATAAAAAGGAATTTTATTAATTCTAGTAATATTTGTTATTAAAAATATCTCCCTGCTTTCATGCAGTTAATGTCAGTCTTAAGTATTGAAACTTTATTGAATCCAGAAATACTTTGAATTCATGAAAGACACTCTGCTATGTAAAATGATTATGAAATGAACCAAAAGACAAGCCCTGTCCTCAGGGTACCCACAGTTCAGTGTTGTGGGGGGAACATGAAAAACGTAAGTAATTGCCATGTGGAATAATAAATTCTAGGAGAAAGGCGTGTGTAAAGATAGGAAGAAGATGAAAGCAGAACGGTGCTTATAAAATGGGGAAATCAGCAAAAATTGCACAGAGGAGGCTAGAGAGTCTGCGGATGAGATTGCAAGCATCTGTTCCATGGAGGAGCCTAAGAGAGCCCGGTATTCTAGAACGCCCCATGGTAGCTCAGTGACGACACATTTGGTGAAGAAAGACACTGATGTGGAGAAAGCTAGGACAGAAAGGTTTTGTTTTGTTTTGTGTTGTGTTGTTTTAGGACCTGTTAAATGGGGAGGTTGAAAAGAGATGGAATGAGACAGAATCAGATTTGTGATTCAGAAAGATTACCTGAATGTCTGTGTGGAAGGTGACCGGAATCTCTACTGCTGGAGGGAGATAGACAAAGCAGGATGTTGGTACCAAAGTCTAGGTGAAGAAATGAGGAAACCTGGACTCCTGCCATAAGAAAGTGGCAATGAGGATGGGGGGATTGGCAGCTTCAAGAGTTATTCAGACATGTTGACTTATTGGAAAGGGTGAAATAGGAGTATGCATAATCCCAGCTGGGCAGCATAGGCCATTGGGTAAACAGTGGCTACATTAGAGATGTAGGGAAGATGAAAGAAAGATAATATTGCCAAAAAATGAATTGTGTTTTTTTTTTACCATATTTCAAAATTATATTTTAATTCTAGTCTACTTAAGTTACAGTGTTAAATTAGTATCAGGTGTACAATACAGCGATTTCACACTTCTGTATATTACCAAGTGCTCAGTTTTGTTTTATGTAAGTTAAATTTGAAACCCCTGTTAGACATTTAAGGTGATAGAGTCAATTTGAAATACCTCATTAAAGCTCAGAGGATCCCTCTAGGTTGTGAGAGAGGGGTTCGGGAGTTTGTCAGATCTCTCTCTCTCTTCCATCACATCATTGGTAGGAAAAGGAGAAAAATAATAGTTGATGAGAGTTGGTGAAGAGCAAATGGGATGCTAAAATTATATCCATTATTTTCTGTCTTTATACGATATGAATCATGTAAAAATGCATACTAGTTAGCATCAAATGTGTGATTGGAGCTCAGATTCTAGTGACTTTAGATTGCTCCCAAGATTAAAAAAAATTCTTGCA